CAGCTCTCACCCACCCACCCACTGGGAGCCCTAGAGCAGAGAGAGACACACTGCAGGCCATCTGGTCCCTCCTGTTCTGAGTTTTCTGCCAAGAAATAGGCTCCCATCGGCTCACGTACAGCCTGCCTGCAAGCAGGCCTTGCAGTGGGTGTGAACCGAGGAATCGCTGGTACGTGGGAAACAGTCAAAGACTCAGAACCCAACCAAGCACTGAACTTCCTCAGTTCACTAAGCTTCTGTCTTTTGCTTTTGTGGGAAAGTGAATCACCAAAACCTACTTCCCTGGAGAGGAATTGAAATGCTAAGTCCTGGGCCCACTATATGGCTAAGCCAACACATGCTCAGTGACAGCTGACGTAGCATTTGCACAGTGAGTCACTGGGGGACCTGAGCTGTCAGAAGAGACTCCGTTGTAGTAACACTGTGCTAGTGGTTCACTCAGGAAAGGGAAAGGTATTCTTTTGTATTTAACTTTAGTTTTGAATATTCAAAATGTTTAGTTTCACAATAGATTGCAAAGAAGTTTATAAGGATTTCCTATGCACCCTCATGCCATCATCTCATACCCACAGTAACCACAGTATAGTATCACAACCAAGAAACTGACACTGGCACACTCCACAGAGCTGGTTCAGATCTCACCCATCATACATGTGTGCACATGTACATGTATGCGTACTTTCATGCTGTTTTGTCACATGTGTAGCCTTGCATAACCCCACCACAATCAATGTTCCTATTATAGCCCCACCCATCCTGTTCCCCATCCCCAGGCATCAGGCAACCGCTAATCTGTTCTCATCATTAAAATTCTGTTACTTTATGATGGTTACATACATAGAAACATGCAGTGTACAGGGACGGGTAAAAGTAGGTTTACAGTTATAATACAAATAAATAATACAATAATTAGTAAATGATTATATAAGAATAAACTCTGTGTTTCGTGGACTCACAGCTATAAACCACTTTTGCCCACTCCTATATATTGATTTTAGTTTCCTAGGCCTAATGTGCAAAATGCCGAAAACTAGATGGCTTAAAATAGCAGAAATGGCCCTGGTCAGGTAGCTCAGTTGGTTAGAGTGTCATCCCAATGCACCAAGGTTGTGAGTTCAATCCCTGGTCAGGGCACATACAAGAATCAAGAATGCATAAGTGTAACAACAAATCAGTGTTTCTCTCCCTCCCTCTCTCCTTTCTCAGCTCTCTAAAACCCATAAATTTAAACCAATAAGCCCTGGCCAGGTGGCTCATTTGGTTAGAGCATCACCTCGTGCACCAAGGAGTTGTAGGTTCGATTCCTGGTAAGGGCACATACCTGGGTTGTGGGTTCGATCCCTGGTCTGGGCGCATACAGGAGGCATCCAATCAGTGTTTCTCAATGTTTGTCTCTCATATTGATGTTTCTCTCTCCCTCTCTCTCTCTCTCTCTCTCTCTCTCTCTCTCTCTCTCTCCCTCCCTCCCTCCCTCCCTCCCTCCCTCTCTCTCTCTAAAATCAATAGAAACATACCTTTGGGTGAGGATTAAATAGTAATGTATAGAAATGTATTGTCTCATGCCTCAGGAGGCTGGAAGTCTGAAATGAAGGCTTAGCAGGGCCATGTTTCCTCTGGCAGCTCTGGGGGAGATTCCTCCCTTTTCTCTGCCAGCTTCTGCTCTTTGCTGCAATCCTTGGCCTTCCCGGGCTTGTAGATGCATCACTCCGGTCACATGCCATCTTCACCCTATGTGTCATCACAGGTCCTTCCCTCTGTGTCCAAATTTGCCCCCTCCTTTTTTAGTTCTCTTTTTTTTAATTGTTGTTGGTATTATAGATGTCCACCATTTCTCCCTTTTTGCCCCTTTCCACTTAATCCCTGCTTAGGAAACGTGCATCTAGCAGGACAGGAGAATGTGTATGTGCTAAATGTAAGACAGGTGGTCATTAGCATCATAGGTGTACAACATGGGATCAGGAGGCAGAGCACACGAGCTCTTCCTGAGCAGGTCAGAGGACACGGAGAGCGGTGCCGGGAGAGGGCAGATGGGATCAGAGCTAAAGGAAGCCCCTTTACCAAGGTTGCACGGTTGGGGGCTCACCAGGGGCACAGGCCATGTCAAATGGGACCAGAACATGACAAGTCCTGGATGTTTTTAAATATGTTGAAGTGATGTTAATGTAAACATGTAATAATGTTAATATAAATGATGTTCATGTCAAGAACAGTCATCTAACATTGCTTTAAAAATTACTTTGATGTCAGAGTAGCTATCAAGTTCATAGTCTTGACTGTGTCTCGTAGCTAAGCAGTTTGCTTCTTCTGGAGCAAAGGGAGATCTGGCTGACGGTGACCGACGTCACCCTGCAAGTGCAGGATGAAAACCACTCTGGCTTCCCCAGAACCCTGCCGGTCTGCGTGACCTCCTCGTGTGTGCTGGCCCAGGAGGTCCTGGAAGAACTCGCCAAGGCTGCCCCCCACAGCTTCTTCTTCAGAGACGCTCTCCGAGACCAGGGTGAGCTTTCTTCCTGACGGCTGTGAGCCAGTGGTGCTGTGCAGATTCCAGACCTTGGCTTTGGGCTTCCGGGTCCTGCTCAGACACTGCGGGGCCACCACTAAGCCCTCCGCAGACAAGGCGTGTGGAGTGCAGAGGCCCCTGGTGCCACCCAGGCTCTCACTGACCATGTCGTGGCCGCCTGGACAGAACCAGAACCCCTTGCAGTATGGGCAAACGGTGTCAGAGCTGCCAGTGGTCACTCTAGGACTGTCTGTTGGTGGCAAGCTTACAGGTGCAAGAGCCACTTAAGCCATTGCCTGGGACATCATTTTTTAAAACAAATGAAAAGCTACAAATTGTAAACATGTACACTTCGTCGAGGAACCAAAGTAGGAGCCTACCTCAACTATATATTTTTTTTCTTTATTTCCTTGAGGTATAATTTTCATACCATAAAATTCACCTTTTGAGTTGAAAATGAATGTGGTATTTGTGTGTTTTTCAGCTTAGCACGCTGGCGGCTTGGGGCTTCCTTTCTGCACAGCGCGTGTGTCACCCCGCAGCGGTGCCCCCTGTCCCACACGGCTCTAGGGATCTAGCAAAGGACACCGCCTTTCCTGGCAGAGCTCCCTCTCCCTTCAGTGCTTCCGTCTGAAATGTCTCTCCTGACAGGTCGGATTGTCTGTGGTGAGCGCACTGTCCTCTCGCTTCCAAAGCCCGTTCTGGATGTGGCCTCGGGCACTGGCTCCTGTGAGCTGCCGGGCCCTGTGAGGCTCGATGGCCTGGATTCTGTCACTCAGGTCAACTGCATCTGCAGCGTTCAAGGTGGGTAGTCGATCTTATGGAAACAGTATTTCTGTTTTCTTGAATATCACACTTGTCAGCAAGTAGTTGTTGAGTACCTGACATGTTACAGACGTTGGATACACAGGAGCAACATCAGAAGAGGTCCCCACTTCTCGGTGTGTAGTCTGTGTAGGAGGACATGTCAGATATGCACACCGCCAGACACCGCGCCTCAGCATCCCCAGGGTCCAGGGCTGCTCCGCACCACCTCCCCTGGTCAGGGCGGTCACTGAAGGCTCCAAGGGCAGGACGGAGCTCATGAGGTGAAGCAGGGAGGTCGGGAAGAATAGCTGGTAGGGAGAAAGCAGGCTTACAGAGGCTGCTGGAAGGATAGAGTAGGTAAGCCCCGGAGTCTGGGAGGAGGCCAAAAGGCACCTGCATAGAGGGAGTGACCTGAGAGAAAGTAAGAGGGCCGGCTTGTGCAGGCCAGTGGGCTCGCTGTCAGGACCTCCCAGAGAGACAGCCTGGTCCAGTTCCCATCTCTGCAGAGCGGAGTAGAGGGGCTGGGCCTCGGGTAGCCGCCAGTAGGAGGGCGAGCACCGTCTAAAGGGTGAGTGAATCCAGGAGTAGATTTCGTTAAGAGGGATTGGCAGGCCGGGTAATGAATTTGGTACAGAGGGAGGGGAGAACGTGTGTGATGACCCCTAAGATTCTGGCTTAGGTGACCAACCGGCAGTGGTAGCGCTCTTCAGTGAAGTGGAACGTGCCGATTCTAGGTTTCTTGCCTTCCATATGAACTTTAAATCAGTTTTTTTATTTTTATTTTTTTTTTAATATATTTTATTGATTTTTTACAGAGAGGAAGGGAGAGAGATAGAGAGTCAGAAACATCGATGAGAGAGAAACATCGATCAGCTGCCTCCTGCACATCTCCCACTGGGGACGTGCCCGCAACCCAGGTACATGCCCTTGACCGGAATCGAACCTGGGACCTTTCAGTCCGGAGGCCGACGCTCTATCCACTGAGCCAAACCGGTTTTGGCAAATCAGTTTTTTTATATCTACAAAATAACTTGCTGGGATTTTAAGTGGGATGGTCTTGAATATCTACCTATTAATTTTAGATCTCTAAGTTCTTTTATGATAGTTCTATAGTTTTTCTCATCTGGATCATGTAGATATTTTGTTATAGTTTTACCTAAGTATCTTCTTTATTTTAGCATTAATGTAAATGGTGGTGTGTTTTTTATTTCAAATTCCATTTGTTCATTGCTAATATATAGGAAAGCAATTTACTTAGAAAACTATGTCACCAGGACACAAGGACAATTTATTCTTCCTTTCCAATCTTTATACCTTTTATTTCTTTTTTTTCTTTTTTTTCTTTTTTTATCTTACTGTATTAGCTAGTACTTCCAGCACTGTTTTTAATATAAGTAGTGGTAGGGGACTTTCTTGCTCTCTTCCTAATCTTAAATAGAAAGTATCTGCTTGCTCACCATTAACTATGATGTGAGCTGTAAGGATTTTGTAAATTTGTTTGCTTCTTGTTTTATCAGTTAAACATGGTATCTCTTTATTCCTTGCTTTGTAGGAAGTGAATATTAGCTCTCTGGCCCTGCTTTTACTGCTGTCTTTGTACCACCACCATACAGCTGTTTCTGTATATTGTTGCATGATAATTTATTCCATAATTATAATTAAACCTTGCACACTTGGTCTACAGATTGATTCTCAAAGATGAAAATCAATAAATGGTATTTTTATTATGATGATGGTATATTTTTGGACAAATGGTATGAATGGAAACATACCAGTGTTATATAATAAATCAGATGTACCGAAAGTAACCATAGAAGATGATCTTGTTGTAAATTCTTAACTGTACAATTCACTCCACTCCACTCTTCACTCCTCTTCTCTTCACTCCTATCCTCTTCACTCCTCTCCTCTTCACTCCACTCCACTCCACTCTACCTCACTTCACTTGGGTCACCAGGCCTTCTCATCACTCCCCAAACATCAACTCCCAGCGTATGCAGGCACTTCCTTCCAGTTTATTTTCTGGGGTGAAAAAGTTTTGCATCATTGATTTTCTCTTCTTTATTGCTCACCACTTCTGTATACATTCATTGCTGGTTCGTGTATAATGCTCTTACTTGCCATGGTCGCAATGGATGCAGCAAGCACACTCTGTCTTCTTGGGAAGTGGTGGCAAAGTCTTGGCCTTGGCCTCTAACTAGAAGAAAAATGTCTGAGCCCCAACTTCTTTCTGTCAGAAAGGTGGAGTAGTGTGGCAGAGAGTTCAAAGTATCTGAAGAACATTTTAAACCAGGCTGACAGTGCCAGGAAAACCCGGACTGTCCAGAGCACGTAGCTGTTGTGTGCCCCAAAAGGAAAAAAAGGGTTGAAGCACTTCCAATAGGACCTTTAAAAAAAGATGTTTTAATAAATATGTGATATGCCTTTCCCAAACCTAATTATAAGAGAGTTCTGTAAACAAGATAAGGACAGTAAAGGCTTTTAATAGCAAATTGCAGTTAAGTGATGAGTGTGGCGTCACACTTACCAAACTCTAACAAAAATTGTTTTTTTTCTGATGCTCGCTTAAGTGAATACTCTAGATACTAACAGGTTAATACACTTCCCAGGCATCCCTTGGAATTCACTTATGTCTGCAGAAGGGATTTCCAAGGGTGTATAGATCCCAAATGAAATACGTTTCCTCAACTCTTGTCCTAATTGGATGGAAGTAACTTAATTCCATATAAATGTAAATGCTGTTAACACCCAAAGGTATCCTAGGATCACAAGGAGCTTTGATTGGTAGCAGTCCCCTTTTTATTAATCCATTTAGCAGACACCAACTACTGCTGTGAGCCAGGCTCTCTGCTGGGCACGGGGCCTGGGGAGGGAGCCACTCCCTTTGCCTCACACCTTTGCCTGTTGCGAATTAGTCAGCACTCCTTTCTGGCTATGTTATAAGCTCTTATTGACTATGATTCCTATCCCTTTAACTTGATAGTCCTTAGATTTGCAAGGACAATGAAATTAGCGGGGCAGCCTTTTCAAAATCAAGATGTGTTATTTTCTTTTTTAGAAAGTCATTCAAGTATGTGTCACATGAATGTATTTTAATAAATCAAACCTACTTAGTTCTCATAAATCTGTTTTGTCCTCTACAGATAAATTTTTTTCTAATGCTTGTTCTAGTGGGAATGCAATTCTTCCCCACCACAGAGGGTGGGAAGGATGACTGGAAATGCAGGTCCCGTCTTACTGTTATTCAAACGTCTCATTTCACTTTCTACAGGATGGTCCGTGACTTAACAAAATATCTGCAATGCTTCACACTCCAGAAAATTGGACCATCTCAGTCTCTGTCTAAAATTTCTTACTGGCTTCTCATCCTTCCACAGTCAAGTCTAAAAGCCCCAGCAAGCCCGGCCAGCATGCTCAGTGATTGAGTGTTGACCTATGAACTAGGATGTCCCGGTTCAATTCTTGGTCCCCGGTGGGGGGCATGCAGGAGGCAGCCAATCGATGATTCTCCCTCATCATTGATGTTTCTATCTCTCTCTCTCCCTCTCTTTTTCTTTCTGATATTAGTAAAAATATATTTTTAAAAAATAAAATCCTCAGCAAGACCCTGAGTAATCATAGTCAGTTAACTCTACAGCCACTTTACCTGCCTTTCCTTTATGCCTGTTTGGCCTCAAGCCTCACCCCAGGAAGCCTGCATTCCTATCTCAGTTCCCTTCTTTTATGAAGCCTTCCCTGACCCTCAAGCCCGCCTAATGGGCCTCTCTTCTGCACCTCTGAAGGGTCTGTTCCATTTCTTTTTTTTTTTAATATACTTTATTGACTTTTTTACAGAGAGGAAGGGAGAGGGATAGAGAGTTAGAAACATTGATGAGAGAGAAACATCAATCAGCTGCCTCCTGCACACTCCCTACTGGGATGTGCCCGCAACCAAGGTACATGCCCTTGACCGGAATCGAACCTGGGACCCTCAAGTTCGCAGGCTGACGCTCTATCCACTGAGCCAAACCAGTTAGGGCCATTTCTTAATTTAGCATTTATTTTATGGTAGTGTTAGGTGTACCGCAAAATTAAGCAGGAGGTACAGAGATTCCCTTATTCTCCCTGCGCCTCCCGCCTCTCTCACACACACACACACACAGTCTCTGCCACTGTCAGC